AAGCCTTCAGAATGAACATTCAAATTATTTCCTCAGGAATTACAGAAGATTTGAAAAAACGGGTATATTTCTGCTTCAAAAAATTATGGACTAAATAGCTGCAAACAATGTTAATTTGTGATTGCTTCCAACACTTCCAACTTCCCTTGGGTTGGATATTACGCGGTTCTTACTTAAACGAATTTAAAGATAAAGAATGCACACAACACTCCTCAGCTACCAACATAAACGTTTTAATATCGTTATTATTTCCTATTGGAATGCCTTTAGAACCTACAACACTTTCTAGAGTTTAGGTAAAGCGTTTGACATGTTCAGCTTCTAAACTGAAACGTTTCTTCAACTTTTCAATAGGAAGAACTGTTGCCATTGTTGCTTTAATACATGTGACTTTTGTTTTCTGAAGAATTTTACACTAACTTTAACTGAAACTGGTACAGTTAGCCTTATGTAATTACTGCACCTGATTATACAGTTTGCTCATAAACATTCGAATCATGTGAACTTTTACTTTGTTCGAGAGAGATTTCCCATTGGTAAAAAAAAATAAATTGCATGTCTAGTTTTAACTGGTGCATCAGTTTTATTATCTCGGTGTTGGAGCTTTTTATCTCAAAATAAATGTTTGTAGTGATTTGTTGTCGAGGCGATTTACATTTTTTCCTGGCGCAACTGCCCTCGTCATGAAGCCAAATTTGGGATTTTGTTCAGAGGTTTTGTGTTTTACAATTTGCAACGATTGCTCTGCGTGCAGCAGTTTCTTATATGCATGTTCGCAAATTTCTCAACAATGACATTGACATGCTCGAAATAAAAAAATAAATTCATTTCAGTTGCTTTAAATTTAGTACAGACTGAAGTGAAAGAATCCTGAGTCTGAGGACCATGTAAACTGACTTGGAAGGCTGAGGAGTTGATCTTCAAAACCTTCCTCATCGCTAATTAATAATGATGAGTCAATACTTATTGATTTGATTAATTTGCAATGATCTGAAAATATTGAAGTTTAAAAAAGCAACAGAATTGATTTGATGACTGGCAATGATATAACCGACCCTACTAGAGCCTTGATTTCCATGGAAGGTAATTTTTCCAAGCTAGTCGCCTGGGTATCTTCCATTCAAGATTGGTAAATGTAGAGATTTACACATTGCAAGTAGCTGTTTTCCCAGTTATCATTAACGAGAATATCGAAACTTTTCCTGGGTGTTATTATTGTTGGTACAGGGGAAATACCCGTGGGTGCATTAAACACCATGCCAAAGCTAGTAAATAATCTCTCTTGTAAAGGTACTATCATTTTTTTTAATTTTGAAGAGTGTTGGGTTTAAAACAAGAAAAACGACTAGGTGGAACGTACATGAAGAGAATAGAATCAGCGTACAAAGAAGTT